GCTGTTCGTGGGCCCACGGTCCACGGAAGCCTGGCCACCAAGCTTCGGGGACGCCTTGTGGCTCTGTCACGATAAGCCTCAGGCAGACACCGCGGACAGAAAGCCGGCATGGCAGGGCGTCACTGTCTGCTCTGAGACCCCATGCGTCATTGAGGGCGATGTTAACGCTCACAGTACCTTTTGCAGTTTCATCCTGCTGGTGCACGTGTGCTAGGGTGGCCGAGCAGAATGCCACCAAGTGGGCAGCTTAAGACAACAGGAACGTGTCCCCTCTCCTGGTCCCGGAGCCCGAGAGTGTGGGACACGGGAGTCTCGGCCGTGCTCCCTGCACGGGCTCCAGGGGAGGCTCCTTCCCGCCTCTCCGGCTCCCCGGGGCTCCAGGCGTCCCTGGGCCTTGTGGCCGCAGCGCTCACTCCGCCTCTGCCTCCTCCTTCTGTCTCCACGTGGCTTCTCCTCCTGCTGTCTCTTAGGGATATTGGTCAGTGGATTTAGGGCTCACCTGATCCAGAATGCTCTCATCTTGAGATCCTTCCACTTAATTATATCTGCAAAGACCCTTTGTCTAAACAAGATTCCATTCACACCTAGCCTGTGACATAGTTTTTTTTTTTAAGGGGGTGTGTACACTGTTCAACTGTCTGTAGCAGAGGTCCCTAACCTGTGGTGAGTTGTGTGATTATTTCATTACATATTACAATGTATAATAATAGAATAAGCCCACAATAGACGCAATGCTCTTACATCATCCTGAAACCATCCCCCTGCCCCTACTTCTCCCCAACCCCCGCCACTCGTCTGTGAAAAATTGTCTTCCATGAAACCGGGTCCCTGGGTGCCACAAAGGGTGGGAGCGCTGCTCTGTCATGATTATTGAAACTTGCCTGATTTAGCTGTGAACATATTCCCAACACTGAGAAGAAGAAAAAAAAAAAATGCCTGGGTGGTGCCGTTTGTTATTTAACCTCCGGAGTGCTGTATTGGAAGCTGGCAGATTTAACGGGCACCTTTTAGCAAAGCCCAGCTGTGCTCTTGGGCTTCCCAGGCACAGAGATGGTCTTCGAATGTGGCTGCAAGGGACATGTGACCATTCCAAGACAACAGGAACCCTCTGGGGGGGGGAGGGGGGGCTGGCGTCTGGTCCTTGCAAACCTCCACGCGGAGAGCCCAGGGATGTTCACACAGGTTGCACCTGTGCACAGCAAAGGTGCGTTCGCGCCCACAGGTGGGCTGCGTGCCCCGTGCCGTGGAGCCTTTGAGGGGTTGCAGGGATTGAGGAAGGGAGGTGGGCTGAGACATGGTCACCAGAACGGGCATCCCTTGTGCTGAAAACAGAGCTCCCCGCGGTGTTCGAAATGGCTTCATTTGAAAGCTTATTAAGGTTGAACGGGTGCGGTTGGCTCGCGCCACTGTAATCCCAGCACTCTGGGAGGCCGAGGCGGGAGGATCGCTTGAGGCCAGGAGTTGGAGACCGGCCCGAGCAAGAGTGAGACCCCGTCTCTACTAAAGATAGAACATTAGCTGGGTGTCGTGGTGGTGTGCACCTGTAGTCCAGCTACTCCAGGAGGCTGAGGGAGGAGGATCACTTGAGGCCAGGAGTTGGAGGCTGCAGTGAGTAAGGCGGACCGCAGATGATCCAGGTGAGGATCCTTCAACGCTCTGGAGACACCGTACTCTCAACTTCACGGGGCCCCGCGAGCAATGCACAGAACACCCCTTTATGATGAGAACGGACCCTGCAGGCAACCTCTGCCCGGGCAACCATCAATGCCCCACCACCGGCCCGGTGACGCTCAGGAATTAAATGCTGAAATAGAAAATGGGTCTATTGGAAAATAGAACTATTAGGTCTATTTTCTATTAGAAATAGAAATAGAACATGAGTCAGGTAAGGTCACCTGGAGTGTCAAGATGGATTGTAACATGAGACACTTTGTATTAACGAAGTCTATGGTCATTCAGTGAGTACCTCGCGCTGTGTTTAGGATGCATGATGGAGGTGGTGGCCCCAGGGTCAAACGGAACGCTCTCATGACAAGGAGCCACACCTTGGCAGTACCCCCTTCCCCCGTTCATTAGGGGGCCCTCCACTGCCTACCCTTCTCCAGGGAGGCGCGTCCTTGCCTGTTTTTGGTTAGGTGAATCCACTTTCACAGGTGGTCATCAAATCCGGGAATCCACAGACCATAGTGTGGTCGGCCAAGTCATCGTGCGCCCCTCCCAAAGATGTCCACGCCCTAATCCCTAGAACCTGTGTGTGCGGTTCATTACGTAGCAACAAGGGATGTCGCAGAAAAAAATGGGGTGACGGACCTTAAAATAGGGATGCCACCCTGGATCGACTGGGTGGGCCCCACTGCATCACGCACGAAGCCTTTAAAGAAGAGAACTTTCTCTGGCTGGGGAGAGGAGAGCCGGATATGGCACGAGAAGTCAGAGATCCCAAGGGTGATGATTCCAACGGGCCGTCGCTGGCTCTGAGGTGGAAGGTACCCACCTACCTGCAAGGCCCAGAGAGGGGACCCTAGGAGCTCAGCGTTGCACCCCCAAACCCCTCCAAAACAACCAGCAGGGAAACGAGAACGGAAGCCCCCAAACGGCAAGAACCCCAGATTGTGCCAGCAACTCGAATGAGCTTGGAGACCCTTGACTCTTCCCAGAGACTCCCGAAAAGAACCCAGGAGGTGCACATCTTGATTTTGACCTTCTGTGACCCCCGAGGAAGAGCCCCAGACACCCACAGTCTCTTTGCTGGGTGCACCTGAGGATACCTGGGCACACCTGGGCACACCTGAGCACACCTGGCAAGGTGGGGAAGCCCCATTCCTTGGTGTTGCCGGGTGTCCTGGGCAGGCCTGGCCTCAGCTTCCTCCTCTGTAGGATGCCGGATTGCAAAACAGCAGGAGGATATTTCTTAACCCAGCGTGGGGAGCCCCTATCCACCCACCAGGGCTGTGTCCGTACCATCTTAAATCTACACCAGAGCACACCCCAACGTTCTGAGTGGAGGGGTGCAGCCTGCACCCCAGGATGCCCCCTACTTCTGGGCTGGGGTCTGGGAGGCAGATGGGCCCAGAAGAGTCACTTGCTATGGGGGTGGGGGCCAGGGCTCCAGAGGGGTAGGGGTCCTGGCTGGGGCCAGGTGAGGACCAGGTGGAGACCCTTGGTCCCGGACCTCTGCAGGGTTTGGGGTCCTGCTGTGTGTGTGTGTGTGTGTGTGTGTGAGGAGGGTGCTGGGCTGGAGTCCAGGCGGCTTCCGGGTCCCTGGGAGGACCTGGGTGGGGGTCTGGGGTTCCAAGAGGTGTTAAGGCCCCCAGGGGGTCTGGGGGTGCCAGGCTTGGGGTTTCGGTGGGGGACTGGGTGTGGGTCTGTGAGGGTTCTGGTGGGGTGCAGGTCTGGGTGGGTGTCCTCAGGGCTCTTGGAGGGGGTCCATATGGGGTTTCAGCCTCTGTCCTGGCAACTGTGTGGATGGGGGTCCGGTGGGGGCTTCCTGTGGGGCGCTGAGTAACAGTCTGTCGTCCCTGCAGGGGGGGTCTGTAATCCCCACAGGAGTCTGTGGTTCTCTTCCAGGGTTCCAGGAGGGGCCTGTGGTTCCTGTGGAGGTGGGGGAGGGGTATGTGGTCCCTGCGGGGTGGGGGAGGGGCCTATGGTCCCTGCGGGGGTGGGGGAGGGGTCCGTGGTCCTGGCCGTGGTCTGAGTTTCCCCGTGGGGTCCGAGTGGGGCTCCACGGTCCTCCAAGGAGTCTGGGGTTCCCTGTGGGAGCTTGGGGTGGGAGATCTGTGGTTTTCGACTTGGTCTGGGGTCCTGGAGTGGGGTTAAGGGAGGGTCTGGAAGCTCCGTGGGGTATGTGTATGGGGGTCCTGTAGTCACGGTGGGGTCTGTGGTCCCTGGCTGGGATGCGGGTGGGGATTTGGGGTCCGGTCTGGCTGGGGCCCTCCGTGGTCCTAGTGGGGTCCAGGCAGGGGTTCTGGGGTCCCTGTGGGAAATTTGCGCCTGGGGCGGGGGTCTGCGGTCCTGGAAGGGGTCCTGGCAGTGGGGTCTGCGGTCTGCGAGGAGTCCGTGGTCTGGGGGTTCTGCGGTCCGGGAGGGGCCCAGGCGGGAGGGGGTGTCTGTGATCCGGGTTGGGGGTCTGGGGCCCCGGGGCAGGGGGGTCTGCGGTCCAGGAGGGACCCGGTGGATGGTCTGGGGTCCGGGCGGGGGGTCTGGGGTCCTGGAGGGGGTCTGCGGTCCGGGAGTGTCTTGGCTGGGGGGGGTCTGCGGTCCGGGAGGGGCTCGGGCGGGGAGGTCTGTGACCCGGTCCGGGAGGGGTCCGGGCGGGGATCTGGGGTCTTGGAGGGGCCCAGGCAGAGGGGGGGGGGTGTCTATGGCCCGGGTTGGGGGTCTGAGGTCCGGGCGGGGGTCTGCAGTCCTGGAGGTGAAAAAAAGATGGTCCTTGGGTCGAGGCCGGGGAGGCGAGCCGGGCGGGGGGGTCTGAGGTCCCGGGGGGGGTCTGGGTCTGGAGGGCCCGGGCGGGGGGCTCTGTGGTCCGGGTTGGGGGTCTGGGTCCGGCGGGGGGTCTGAGGTCCTGGAGGCGCCCGGCGGGGGGCTCCTGTGGTCCGGTTGGGGTCTAGGGTCTGGAGGGCCCGGGCGGGGGCTCTGTGGTCTGGGTGTCTGGGTCCGGGCGGGGGTCTGAGTCCTGGAGGCCCGGGCGGGCGGTGGCGGCCGTGCGCCGGCGCGGCGGGCGGCCGGGGCGGCGCGTTCGTCCGGCGGGCTTGCGCCGGTGGTCCCGCGGCGGCGCGGAAGCGGTGGCGCGGCGGCAGCCATGTCGCCTTTGTCTGCGGCGCGGGCGGCCCTGCGGGTCTACGCGGCCGGCGCCGCCGTGGTGCTGGCGCAGCTGCTGCGCCGCTGCGCGGGGCTCGTGGAGCCAGGTTAGCGGCGCGGGCGGGGTCGCGGCGCGCTGGGGGGGACGGGGCGCGCGCGCCGGCTCGGCGGTCCCGGGGTGGGGGCGGCCCGGGTACCGGGCGACCCGGGCGGGCTGGGCCTCCGGAAGAGGGGCGGGGCGCGGGGCGGGGGGGGCCGCGCGGCTCCTGGGAGCCCGCGGCGCCCGCCCGGTGCAGCCCGCCGCAGCTGCCGGCCGCTCTCCGCGTGCCGCCGCGCGGCCCCCCCGCCTGCCGGGGCCGGGGGGCGCCCCGAGAAGTCCGGGTCCCCCCCTGGGGCCATGGCCGGGTCCCCCAAGGCCCCCACGCCGCGCGCCCTAGACCTCGGGCGGCTCTGGGCCCGCTGCGCCGTGAGCGCGCGCCTGGCCCCAGGAGGGGAGGGGAGGCGGGGGCGCCCGGGAGCCCGCGACCCCCACCGCGGCAAGTGGCACCGGCTGCTTCCCGGGGACGGGCGGGCGCGCGCAGGGCCTCGCGTCTCGGACGCGCGGAGCCAAGGGTTCTCAGCGGGAGGACATTCCTCAGACGGCAATTTTTGTTTCTCTGGCTTTGTAAACATCCTGCGAGTCACGGGTCTCAACCTTCTGGTGTGCTGTCCTTTAACGTAGGTGGCCTGTGTTTTTTAATCTGTTTACGTGTTCAGAGCGGAACACATGGACAGCTGGCCACACTAGACACGCACAAAATTTTTTTTCCTTGGCCATAGCGTTTTAGGAAAATAGATTACTTGGCAAACGAAACGATCTTTCTCATTTCAACTTATTTTTTTTTTGTATATTATAATATATGTTATTTCGTTTTCTGTGTGTGAGTTTATGCAGCTTGGAAATAGTGCTTGGGCTCCAAATTGAGCGTGAGTTAATCGACTCACGGTGCAGGTAATGTGTTAAACTGAGAAACCTGCCCGCAATGACTCAGGAACGATAGAAAATCGAAGTTAATACATCTATGCTACATTAAGGTGCTTGAGTGAGGACACTTTATTTTTAAGTGAAAAACGACGATTTTCCAAAACAAAGGATTCAGAGGGGAGGGTGGTGGTGTTCTTACCTTGCAGACAACCCTGAAAACGTCTGGCCTGGGCAGTTAGGTGTGTCTCTGCCTACGGAATGGCAGCGGGTCCGAGGGGCCTCAGAGACACCGTGTGAGTGTGGTTTTTTGCAAGCCTAATAGCATTTGTGCATTTTTGCGAAAATACTTTTGACTTCCTGTTTACCCACTGGAATGGCCTCAGGGCTGGTGGCAGCCGGTCCTCGGCCATCCACACTCGAGAAAACACTGCTTCACTAGGAGCAGGTATTTTTAAGGGAGCTCACCCTCCTCCAACCTATACGCCCCTCCCCCCGGGGAGGGGGCAGTTTTTAAGTTTTGGTCAGCTAAGTTTTAGTTTTTGGATGCAGCACGTCTCAGTAGTTTAACCCACTTAGAGTAAGTTTAACCCACTTAAGAGTAATTAGAGAGTGAAAGAACCATTTTACCCTGGCTAGAGCTGGGGTTAGGGGGTGAGGGGCGGGGAGGAAAGTGTTTCTCTTAAATCAGTCATCAGTTTGCAAAGGGAAGAATTGTTTAAAAGCAGTTAAAAGCCAAAGAAGAATGGTGCAGTCTTGCAGGTCGTGTTTATCTGTGCAGTTTTTGCTGCTTTAGCCTGCTTAAGTCTGTTAATTGCTCTCAGGGTAGAGCCAGAATTAACTGAGAATTAAGTTGAGCCTGGCAGGGTGGTAGTAGTACGTGCAGCGGTGAATCCAAAAGCTTGTCTCTTATGCGGTCAGAGTTGCTCCTGTTGTTCTCTCTTACTGATTATTTATTATTATTATTTTTTTTTAAAGAAAAGATTGTTAAAAAGACAAGCCGCTGATTAATCATGTGTCAACAAGTGACTCTGCACCTTTTTGGAGACAGAATCGCTTTCAATAAAGATTAACTTTATTAGCTGACCTTCCCTGCAGCCACTTCCTGTCTGTGGATTTAGGAATAATTTAGACTTGGGCCTGGTGTCTGGCTTCCCAATTAGCATTTTGTTTTTGCTTCTGACTAAACTGGCAGGACTTAACCTTTGCCTGGGAAACGTCGAACTTTGCCGTGTATGGAGCTAGCCAAGAAGTGCCGGCTCGTCAGGGCCGATTGGAAACACCTGTATTTTATTTTATTTTTCCTTAGAACTTCCAAATTGAATATATGCTCTTAGACATTTTATAAAGGAATGCAGGAGGCACACACTGTGATCGAAAGAAAACGAGGAGAAACTAACATGTAAGCTGCCCCTGAATGCTGTTTCTCTTGAAAGCTGATAATGTCAAAACAAGATAGTTACAAGTAACAGTAAGTGTGGGCGTGCTTTGCAGAGATGTTTATAAGCAAACTGAGAATTCCTTTAAGAGAGTCTTTCTCTGTTTTCTTAACACTATGTCTAGGTGGTCCGTAACAGTAAGGTGTCTATTGGTCAGCATTTTAAATATGCGATTTAATTAGTATATTTACTACCCTAGTATGACATAAAAACTCAAAACGATGATAAGGCCTTCTGAAACCTGTTGAAAAATGATCCTTTTGTGCAAAAGAAAGTCTCCTACCTGTCCTATGCATAGCAGGATTGGCTCCGTCAGATACTAAGCTTTCTCCCAGGCTCCAAATGAGTTTTGAAAAGGAGGGAAAATGGAAGGGAGGCCTGTTTTTGGAGCCCGGTTCGAATACTGCGCAGAATTTTCCTTAAAAATCCTGCAGGAAGTAAGAGGCCACAGGATATCCTTAACTTTCTGGGATTTAGAAAACGGACTTGCAAAAGTCTGTATCAGAGGAGTGAGCATCTCCCAAATAAAAACATGTCAACAGAAGCACTTAGAAAGCTGTTTTAGGAATAGTCCTGGTTTCAAACTGTAGGGTTCAGAAAAAAACTAATAAAAGCTATGAAGGGAAAAGGGAATTCCTGTTGGTTTTATGAACAGTGAACAGTGGCTATAAGCATCGGTAGAAATGAGCACAGAACTTTTCAAGCGTGTCCATCACAGGGGTTTCTTTTAGTGTCCACAAAATGAGGACCCACCCAAAAATTTGTTTATCTGTTTATGTGGGTGGCACCAATCAGTAATTTTTTACCCTCTGAGAAGTAAAACAGAAATTCAAAACATGTTTAATAATTTTATTTTAAAAGGAATGACGACAAGCCATTACATGACACTACCAAAAATATATATATATATATTATTTATGTATTTTAAGTGGACAAGCAACAATTGTATATATTTATGGACACAATGTGGCACTTTGACTTATACATGCATTGTGGGAATAATCAAGTAATATCCATCACCTCACCTAATTTATTTATTTATTTTTGGTGGCGAGAACATTTAGAATGGACTGTTTTAAGAATAATAAGGTAATAATAATAATAATAAGGTATAATAATAATAATCTCTTACGAGTTTTGTATTTTCTTACGCTCATGTGTTGCTATTCAACCGGAATAACTTTAAAAAACGGAACTATGTGAGGAGACGGATATCTTGAGTAGCGATCATTTTCACTATGTGTGCATGCTGAAACATGGTTGCACACCTTAAAATATATAATTTTATTTAAACCAAGTAAGTACCAAAAAAACCTACTCCTTTGGCAATTTTGAAAATGTAATACATTGTTATTAATTACCTATAGTCACCCGCTGGGCAGTAGAGCACAAAATTTATTTCTCCTGTCTGAGACCTTGTACCCTTTGACTCTAAGGTGTTTGTGTTTGTTTTTAAAACACAAAATAACTGTGATCTCCAAAACCAGTGAAACGTTAGGGAGAAGAGTAGCTGCATTCCAGGGTTTCGCAGGCCTGTTTGGCTGAGGGAGAGCGACTGGGTTCTTGCTCCTTGTGTCTTGCCATGTGCATGTTCTGTTTTGATCACACCAGGGCAATCTGGAAGCTTCTCTCGTGGGCGTGCAATTGGAAAAGGCAGCAGCTGGCCGGACCCCTGGCAGCGTCTTGGGGACAGCAGCCGGGGAGGCTCGGACCATCCTTTGAGAATGAGCCCATCAGAGGCTGCTTGGAAGAACGATTTATTTGGGCCTATCTCTCTCTCTCAGAAGCCACCTGTGGGCTGCTGCACCCAGATGGTGGATTGCGCAGACGATAGATTATGCAGACCGGCGGTGGGTTGTGCAGACAATAGATTGTGCAGACGGTGGGTTGCGCTGGTGGGTGGGTTATCTTCTTCAATAACACACTTTGTTAGGGATTTGGGGATTCCTGCTTCCAGGACAAAGCATTGCTCCGGGTGCCAGGACCCTTTTAGCCTAATAATAATAAAATAATGGAATAAAAAAAAAAAAAAACAAACTTGTTCTAAGTGCTAGGACCTCTTTCAGCCAAATAATAATAATAAGCATTATATGAGTCAAAGACTTGTTCTTGGTAACAGGACCTCTTCCAACCAAATAATAATCCTACTATAATTCTAATAGGATTTTAAAAACCTGATTGTAGGTAACAGGGCTTCCTTAAAGTAAATAATAATCCTACTGTAATTGTAATGGAACACAAAACTCATTCTATCTAGGTAACAGGGCCTCTTTCAGCCAAATAATGATCGTAATAGACCGTGAAGCTTTGTTCGGGACGTCAGGACACTTTTCGGCCGAGTCTTCTGTCATAGGAAGATTGGTAGAGCCCCATTGGGGCTCTTGGGTAGGACCGGGAACCGACGTCTCAGCGTGAAGAGTGAGGCTTTCTCAGGTGCTTTCTGGTTTTCCTTCTGGTTCGGGGATTCTCCCCCCTTCGGAAGTCCCGGAAGAGGACGTTGTGTTGGGTTCTCCCCGCCGGCACGTCCCGTGGAAGCCCTCTTTCCCTCAGCTCCTGCGTTAGTGCGGACCGGGGCGCTGGGGCTG